TCACTAAATTCAGAATTTCTGCACATAAACTACCAATAGAGAAATTAAGGTATTTACAAGTACCACCAGAGGAAAGGTTATGCATGCTATGTGATGATCTAGCTGTTGGCAATGAGATGCATGCTTTCTTAGATTGCAGGAACCCAGAGACTGAATCTGCTAGGTGCAAATTTATGAGAACAATCTCAATGCACAAAGAATTTCAAAGTTTGCCTAAGCAGATCACGTTTAGGAAACTGATGAGTTCAAAAGATAGTTTCATTGCCAGCAGTCTAGGAGTCTATATACATAAAATCTTAGAAATGTATGCTAATTGTTAAACATCTTTTTAATTTTATTATTATTGTTGTATTTGTTGTATTTGTGCGTTACTGTGTTGGTTTTTGGCCATAAGTTATGTAATTTCTTACATTATTTCGAGTCAAATAAAATATTCTATTCTATTCTATTCTTTGCATGTTTGTACATTTTGGCATGCTTGTACATCTTTGCATGTTTGTACATCTTTGCATGCTTGTACATCTTTGCATGCTTGTACATCTTTGCATGCTTGTACATCTTTGCATGCTTGTACATCTTTGCATGTTTGTACATCTTTGCATGCTTGTACATCTTTGCATGCTTGTACATCTTTGCATGCTTGTACATCTTCGCATGTACATCTTTGCATGCTTGTACATCTTCGCATGTACATCTTTGCATGCTTGTACATCTTAGCATGTTTGTACATCTTTGCATGCTTGTACATCTTAGCATGTTTGTACATCTTTGCATGCTTGTACATCTTCGCATGCTTTTAATAAATTGTCTTCAATAAATATACAAGATGTTGTTGCATTAAAAATTGTATATGCTTTTATTTTATTTTATGCATGTATTTATCACCAAATTTAAGAGTATGTTATGAGTACTATGACTAGCAATATATTTTACTAGGTTTATTACACTTGAATAAATGTCCAATTTATCTATACTTGCACACAAACTCATTAAAACCTAATTTCTATTGAATGCCTATTGATATTTATTTCAGACCAGTTTTAAATTTTCAATCTAATTTGGAATTTGTTTATCTCATGTCGGGACACACATATTAGAAACATTTTTTTCTTTTTAGAAGACTCAAAGTTTGATTTTTACATACCAATGCATGATGGTAAATAATCAGGACTCCACACAGTTGCACTGATACATTTCGTTGTTGTAGCAACATCACTGGGTGAGACTGTATAGCCATGTTTGCAGGTAAGCTCCACTGTATCATTCACTCGATGGGGTTCTTCAGGTGTCAAGATGGTGGTAGACTCATCAACAAACAATTTTAAGCATAGAGCACCTAGTAGAAATTGATTATAATTAAAAAAATTACTATCACCATGTATATTGGCATGTATTAACTGAAATTATTATACATCTGTCACCGTAACGCCATAAGTTACAGCGTGTCGTAATTTTGCGGTATTTTACGGGGTATTTTCATCCTACCATATTAGGAAATGCGAATTCTATATATGGAATGATAACGCGCGTGGGCGTCTTCTAATAATAAAAACAAACATGGCTGCCACCAGGGTTTGACCGAACTCCATACAAAGAAGTTCGCTGATTCTGTTCTAAACTTTTTAGATTTCGGCATTCCC